ATGATATCAGTTTAAATTTACTGGTCACTTTAGATATTTACCACACACAACAACACTACAGTAGGCACAATTATTATTTCTACTTAATGGGCTAGCAAACTGAGAGCCTTAGATCAAGTTAAGTTGGCAATGGTCACTCAGTGAAGGAGTGTGTTGAGCCAGGAATCACACTCAGGCAGTATGCCTCCGAAATTCATTTTTTCAATGTGAACATTCACCAAGAGTCAACCACTAGACTTAGATTAAAAAAAAAAAAGTCAACTACTAGGCTAGCATCTCTTCATTAAAAGATAAAACTGATGTTATTCTCCTATTCAAAAAAATCTTCCACTGATCCCCACTGTTTAAATCCAACCTTCTAAGTACTGCATACATGACCTTCCATGTATCTACACCTTCATTTTCAACTTAATTTCTTGTAATGCTTGTCCTTATAGCCTACTGAACTTGTTGCAGTTCCTTTTTAGAATACCCAATAAATGCCTAGGTTGAAATGTAATTATCTCTATGAAATCTTCTTGACACACCTCCCATTTCTCTTCCAAGTCAGAAATGACCAAAACTCCTATGGTTTCAACTGCAGGCTATACTGACTTCTAATACACTTCCAGGGGTTCACATTATTTCATCCATCCACTTAAAAGTTTATCTCACAACTCAATTTTAAAATGGGCAAAGGATCTGAAAAGACATTTCTCCAAAGAGGATATACAAATGTCCAACAGCACATGAAAAGATACTCTCAACATCTTTAGTCATCAGGGAAATGCAAGTCAAAACCACAATGAGGTATCCCTTCATACCCACTAGAATGCCTATAATCAAAAAGGTATATAATAAGAAGTATTGGTGATGTTATGGAGAAACTGAAGCCCTCATACATTGCTGGTGGGAATGTAAAAATGTGTGCCAAATAATTTGACAGTTACTCAAAAGGTTAAACATAGAGCTACCATATGGCCCATCATTTCCATTCTTCAGTATATATCCAAGAAAACTGAAAACATATGCCCACATAAAAATGTTCACCATGAATGTTCTTAGGAGCATTATTCATAACAGTCAAAAAGTGGAAACATTCCAATTATCTACTGACTCATAAAGGGGTAACCAAAAGGTGGTATATCCATATAATGGATTATTATTGTAAAAAGGAATGACATAATGATACATGCTACAACATGGATGAACCTTGACAACATTATGCTAAGTGAAAGAGGCCAGACACAAAAGGCCATATCCATTTACATGGATGTCCAGAATGAGTAAATCCAGGGAAACACAAAATCTATTAAAGGTTCCCAAGAGCCAAGGGCAAAGAGGAATAAGGAATGACTGCTAATGGGTATGGGGTTTCTTTGGGGTTGATGAAAGTATCTTAAAATTAGATACTATGTGATAGTTGCACAATTCTATGAATATACTAAAAACCACTGAATTACATTTTTAAAGGATGAATTTTCTGATACATAAATTACCTCAATAAAGCTGTTATTTAAAAAAGAGTTAATATTTCCCTGATGAGGAGTGACATTGAGCACTTTTCATGTGCCTGTTGGCCATCTGGATGTCTTCTTTAGAGAAGTGTCTATTCATGTCTTCTGCCCATTTCTTCACTGGATCATTTGTTTTTCAGGTGTGGAGTTTGGTGAGTTCTTTATAGATTTTGGATACTAGCCCTTTGTCCGATATGTCATTTGCAAATATCTTTTCCCATTCCGTCGGTTGTCTTTTAGTTTTGTTGACTGTTTCCTTTGCAGTGTAGAAGCTTTTTATCTTCATGAGTTCCCAATAGTTCATTTTTGCTTTTAATTCCCTTGCCTTTGGGGATGTGTCAAGTATGAAATTGCTGCGGCTGACGTCAGAGAGGCTTTTTCCTGCTTTCTCCTCTAGGGTTTTTGTGGTTTCCTGTCTCACATTCAGGTCCTTTACCCATTTTGAGATTATTTTTGTGAATGGTGTAAGAAAGTGGTCTAGTTTCATTCTTCTGCATGTTGCTGTCCAGTTCTCCCAGCACCGTTTGTTAAAGAGACTGCCTTTTTTTCCATTGGATTTTCTTTCCCGCTTTGTCAAAGATTAGTTGGCCATACTTTTGTGGGTCCAATTCTGGAGTCACTCCTCATCAGGGAAATAAAAATCAAAACCACACTCAGATATCACCTCACGCCAGTCAGGGTGGCTAAAATGAACAAATCAGGAGACTATAGATACTGGAGAGGATGTGGAGAAACAGGAACCCTCTTGCATTGTTGGTGGGAATGCAAACTGGTGTAGCCGCTCTGGAAAATAGTGTGGAGGTTCCTCAAAAAATTAAAAATAGATCTACCCTATGACCCAGCAATGCACTGCTAGGAACTTACCCAAGGAATACAGGAGTGCTCAGGCATAAGGGCACTTGTACCTCAATGTTTATAGCAGCACTCTCAACAATAGCCAAATTATAAAAAGAGACTAAATGTCCATCAACTGATGAATGGATAACGAAATTGTGGTTTATATATACAATGGAATACTACTTGGCAATGAGAAAGAATGAAATACGGCCTTCTGTAGCAACGTGGATGGAGCTGGAGAGTGTTATGCTAAGTGAAATAAGTCATACAGAGAAAGACAGATACCATATGTTTTCACTCTTATGTGGATCCTGAGAAACTTAACAGAAGACCATGGGGGAGGGGAAGGGGGAAAAAAAGTTAGAGAGGGAGGGAGGCAAACCATAAGTGACTCTTAAAAAATGAGAATAAACTGAGGGTTGATGGGGGGTGGGAGGGAGGGGAAAGTGGGTGATGGTCATTGAGGAGGGCACCTACTGGGATGAGCACTGGGTGTTGTATGGAAACCAATTTGACAATAAATTTCATATTAAAAAAATAAAGGTAGGTAACTATGGGAAAAAAAAGAGTTATTAATTTGTATGAGAGAAAAACTTTGAAAAATATGGGATCCATGGAAACAGAGAGAACTATTTTTTTGTTTGTTAGTTTCAGTACAATTTTATTTATAAATGCAAGCAGTGGGAGGGGGGTGGGCAGGTCTGGTGCACACACTGTAGTTTCTTGACTGCTACTCTAATAGTGGGCCATATTCTCCACTTTGTTCAAATCTAACTTTCTGTAGTGTGATGATCTGACCAAATTTAGCTTGGAAGCTTAACTTCTTACAATGCAATCAATATACAATGGAGGATAATGCATAATAGTATCTATATTAATCATGGTCTGTAGCAAACATGTTTTTTGCTAGGCTGACACAGAATTATTAAAGGAAGTCTTTGATAGGGTATTAACTACTACATAAAAGTGAAATTTATAAGGAATTACTTCTTCCATCCAAATTGCAAATTATATTTTTTACTCTGTATGTTAATAAACCAAAAGCAATTATAGTATAATGTACCACCTGTAAGTAATATTCTATTAGTTAATTTGCATGTTCTCATTACAATTATTTATTTCCATTAGGTAGAAAGCAACCTAAACTATTTTTATCCACCATGATTTCCATGCTTCATTACTTCAGTAAAGATCTATCCCAACAAAAAGACTTAGAACAAATGTTAATAAAAGATATCTGTGAAGGAACACATTTTCAAAGGACAAAAGATGGTATTTGATGAAATGCTAGTTATTGGGAATATCTGCTGTATCTGACACATTTATTTACTCATTAATAATATTCATTTACATTTTCCAGTCAGCACATGAGAAACCAAATTTTACCAATCTCTCTAAGTTGTTTGGAATTTTAATACACTCCATGGCCAAGTAAATTTCATTTAAAAATCAAATTCTAATATAGTGCAAAATGTTAAATGAATTCACAGCCATCATTGCAGTTCTAATTGCATGCTTTATCTAAAGACTAGAGAAGATTGTGCTAAATTATATGGAACGAACTAGTGTGCACTGTTTAGGCTATCCATTAACTGCCAGTCAAACTAATAACAGCAATCTCTTCTCTAATTTTCCTGGTGCAGCTGTTTATAGAATATCCTGGGCGTGTTCACTTCAATAGATACATAATAGCACAGACATCCACAATGAAAGCTGTAGTTTTTTTGTTTTCAAATTTTCCTAGAGACTGTATATTTTTTCTACCTTGCATATTCAATCACTTTCTTAAACTAACTGCTTTAAATAATCTGTAAATAAACTTAATTGTTATATTGTAGCTTTAAATTTTAAATCTATACTCTGAAGCCCAAATTCCAGGAAAACAAACCAAAAAAAAAAAAAAAAAAAAAAAAAAAAAGACAGAAAAGAAAGAAAAGAAAAGAGAAGAAAAAAAGCCCCAAATATAAAAATCCTTTGTTCTTTTTACAGTACAAAATATCTCCAGCAGAGACTGGTTATGTCTTTACATGTGATTCACCAAGGAATGCTTATGTGAAATTTATACTGACTTTTCTCAAATTATCTTTAAAGCTAAATAAATGTAATTTCATCATCACTAACCAATATGAATATTTACCATATCTAAGCCTATGACTCAGGCATTTTAATTACTCAACACAGAATATAACACAAAATTATTTTTTGTAATACTGTACACCAACAATTCACTCTTTTATAATATTAATTTTAAAAGAGCTAAACTTATTGACCTTATTGCCTGACTGGCAACCAGTGGTTGCCAGTATTTTAGATTTCAAAGAATATAAAAATTAAAAAAATTAAGGAGACCTCCCCAAAGATTAAGGAGACCCAAATTTGCCAAGGAAGAACAATATTTTGTAAAAGAAAGATCATTTTAATATAAGAAAGATAAAAAGGACATAAATTCAGAATAAAGACAACCTTTAAATTAGTAAGATTTAGGATTAGGAAAACTTTCTGCCAGTCTATTTATTTTTCTCATTTTAACAAATGGTAGTGAGAACTCTGACTGAGAGTCATGCTAGCAGCTGAAACAACTGATCTATATTCCATAAGACGAAAAACATTTTTAGGTCACCTTTGCAACCGTGTAAATTCAATAAGCCTTGAAAATCAGCAACTTACAATTCCTGCCTAAGCCTTCTTATCTTTGCCTTAGCATCTGCCAGTTCCACTGACAGATGTTGTCGACTTTCTGTTCGCTTCATGCCTGGAGAACCACAGGGTGACTGTGCAGATGAAGAGGCATGGGGTAAAAAATGAAGACCATCCCTTTCTTCAGAGAGTTCTACGATAGTCTAAGGAAATATGAAAATAAACACAGAATCACTGTTAGTATTCTACATATCAGAGAACTAAACACACCAACACTATTCATTAAGTTTAAGTACTATACTGCAATACCAAAACAATTCATTGGTCAAAAATATCTAACTTTGTGATATTTAGCTATCTTTTTAAAAAGTTTCACAGGGGTGCCCAGGTGGCTCAGTCAGTTAAGCGCCGACTTTGACTCAGGTAATGATTTCCCAGTTCTTGAGTTCCAGCCCCATGTTGGGCTCTGTGCTGACAGCTCAGAGCCTGAAGCCTGCTTCGGATTCTGTGTCTCCCTCTCTCTCTGCTCCATTCGTGCTCTATCTCTCAAAAATAAATAAACATTAAAAAAAATTTTTTTAAAGTTTCACGCAACAGTTCATGGATTAGCTATTACTAGATAACACTAGAATTAAGACTTAATACTTTTTTCCCTCCCTAATAGTTTAATAAAGGAATCAAATGTGGTAAAATAACTATACTAGATAGCAACTATTGGAAAGGTGTAAAAAACTTGTTGACAAAGGAAAGAAATTAACCCAAGCGCAATATGGCTAAAACCATGCTGTCCAATAAGGTAGCCAATAGCACAAATAGTTAACTACAAATTTAAAAAGTCAAAAATACAGTCCCTTAGTGACACTAGCCACATTTTAAGTATATAACATCCATATGGAGCTAGTGGTTACTGTATTAGCACAGAAATGCAATCTTGCCATTTTCACACAACATTGCTCTAGAATTGTAAACAGGGACCTCAGCGGGACCTAAGAGAACCTCTGAGGTTTAGTTCAATTGCTCTCTCTTTTTTAAAAATATTTATTTACTTATTATTTGAGAAAGCATGCACTCGCACGAGAGAGCAGAAAAGGGGCAGAAAGAGAGGGAGAGAGAGAGAGATTCCCAAGCAGGCTCTGCACTGTCAGCACAGAGCCTGAACGGGGGGCTCTGCGAGATCATGACCCAACCCAAAATCAAGAGTCAGATGCTCAACCAAATGAACCACCCAGGCAACCCTAGTTTAATCTCTTAATTCTGCAGTAACGTAACTGAGGCACAGAGATTGATTTGTCCATGATCACAAAACTAATAGCAATGCCAAGACTCCAGGGCCAGCCTCTTGACTTCATATCCTTTCTATGTTCTCTTTCTTAAGACTAGTTCTAATCTGCATCCCATCTCAATGCTTCCTTTATTCCTTTCTCTAGAGTCTCTCCAAGGGACATAAATCTCATTCTACCTTCCCTAAACCTGAACTTTAAGGGCTACCTAACCTACATTTACCTGACTCAATAATTTTCCTCCAATTTTCCTTTTACTGAAAAATTCTTATTCTAAACCAATTACTCAGCTTTTCTTTCAAACTTCTCGGGCAAACAGAAATTGTCTTTGTTAGTAATTTCAACTGTCTTACTCCAGGCAGAATAGGTGGGCTAACTACCTTGGGACAATGAAATCACCATTTTTGCTTTCTTATCACCAAGGCTTCTAATGCCCTCACTGAATCATTACTTTTATCCTTCTTTTTTCTTCTTCTTTTTCTTTTTTTAAAAACCACCCATCAGAATTCATTTCTTTATCCTTGGGATATATTTCAGCACCTGAATCAAGGTCTTTTCAACTATTGCTTTCACAGATTCCAGTATGCCTATTGATAAACTATAGAATGTGACTTCTCATCAGTTCCTTTTCTCTTTACAACTCCACATCTGCTCTCTGTTCAATATATTCAGATTTTTCCAATGAAGGAACCATTCCTCTCTTGTGCCATGCCTCCTTTACTACCATTACTCCCTTGGCACCTATACATATGCCTGAACCTTTAACCACTCAACTCCTCCTTTCTGCCCAGATTTTCCTGGCTACTCTATAGAGTTCCTACTCAGAATGAAACTACAAATAAGCCCTTAAATGTCATCCTTACTTTCTAATTTAACACTACCATGCCATTCTCTAACTATAGCCCACTCTCTGGGGAAAAAGAAATGGGAATGAATATTTATTGAACTCCTAGATAGAGGGTTTTCCAACAAGATTTCATCCAATACTATAACCTGCAATAGAGGCATTATGTCTATTTTAAGACATAAGGAAACCGTTCTTAGGTATTTACTCACAGGATACAAAAATGTTAATTCAAAGGGATATATGCACCCCAGTGTTTATAGCAGCATTATCTACAATACCCAGACTATGGAAACAGCCCAAATGTCTGACTGATGAATGGCTAATGTTGTGGTATGTGTATACACACACACACACACTGAATATTCAGCCATCCAAAAGAGTGGAATCTTGCCATTGGCAACGATGTAGATGGAGTTAGAGAGTATTACACTAAGCGAAGTTAAGTCAGAGAAAGACAAATACCATATGATTTTACTCATATGTGGAGTTTACGAAACAAGACAAATGAGCAAAGAGGAAAAAGAAGAGAAAGAGGCAAACCAAAAAACATTCTTAACTGTAGAGAATCAACTGACGGTTACCAGACAGGTGTGTGTATGGGGGGCGGGGGGGAGTGAAGATGGGTGAAATAGGTGATGGGGATTAAGGAGTGCACTTCTTGTGATGGGCACAAGGTGTTGTGTGGAAGTGTTGAATTACTATACTGTACACCTGAAACTCCTATGACACTATATCAACTAATTTTTTAAATACTTAAAAAATTTAAAAACTCAATTATTTTTTAAAAAGTTTTTAATGTTTATTTATTTTTGAGAGAGAGAGAGAGAGAGAGAGAGAGAGAGAGCAAGCACATGAGCAGGGGAAGGGCAGAGAGAGAGGGGGATACAGAATCCAAAGTGGGCTCCAGGCTCTGAGGTGTCAGCACAGAACCTGACGCGGGGCTCAAACTCACAAACCCTGAGATCATGACCTTAGCCAAAGTTGGATGCCTAACTGACTGAGACACCCAGGTGCCCCCAAAACTCAATTATTTTATTAAAATAACTTCCCTATTAGATTGTAACGATCTTTGATCCTTTTTTGGAAGTTTGTCAATTTGTTGCTCCCAAGCACTCTTAGCACAGGATCTTGCAAACAGCAGATATTTATTAATATACATCCAAGTACGAACATAAAAAGATGTATCAAAGCAAAGAAAAAATTCAGAAGATTTAATAATGCTTACAGAACTCCCAATTGAGGAAAAGAATCAGAGATGTGCTAGCACATTCATGGACTTCGGCAAAGGTTTTATACAACAGGAAAACAGGCATTGGAGTTAGACTCAGCAAATTACTTAATTTCTCTGAGCTCAAGTATCTTCAATCTATTAAAATGAGTCAATCTATTATACTGACTTACAAAGACAGCATATTAAAACGTAACACAAAGCTTGGCATAAAATAAAGTGACAATAAAGAGATCTTAAATTCATTAAAATCTCCTATTTGGTTTTTAGTAAAAGAGGATTTAAGAAATACATGTTACAAGGAATTAAGAATAAGAAAGTTAAGGGGCGCCTAGGTGGCTCAGTCAGTTAAGCGTTGCACTTTGGCTCAGATCATGATCTCAGGGTTCTTGAGTTTGAGCCCTGCGGTGGGCTCTGTGCTGACAGCTCAGAGCCTGGAGCCTGTTTCAGATTCTGTTTCTCCCTCTCTCTCTGCCCCTCCCCCACTCACAGTCTGTCTCTCTCTCTCTCAAAAACAAACATTAAGAAAAATTTTAACCAGAATAAAAAGTGAAAAGTAATTAAAAACAGAGTGATACATTCTATACATTCTATACACTATACATTCTAGTAAAACAATTACAACAAAAGATGAATCAAAACAGAAAAAAAAAAAAAAAAAGGCTCTGTTTTGACAAGGAAGGGCATCCTGTGAGCAGCCTGAAGCTTCTTAATACTGACTGAAAGGTAATGTCCTACTTTTGCCAGGCCACCAAATGGAGGGTATTTAAGTGCATAAATGGTGCCTGCTTTAACTCCTGGGATACTACCGCTTACCAGGATATACATGTATGGGCAAAAAGGCCTGGAGCAGGCAAGTAGCCTCCTTTGTGGCTATGGAACCTTCTAGAATTAAGTGGCCAAGTGTGAAGGAATGTATTGCTTAACTTAAGCTGACAGTCTGGGTTCCACAGAGACCCTCCCAAGGGAAGATACAAAGCAGAAACAATTCTAATTGATGTTATTCTAAAAGGTGTCTCCCCCCACCCCAACTCAAATTTTCTAGTAGGTCACAAGAGCCAGTAGTCTATGACAGAGCTAAGGACATTAGCATATTTCAAGTTAAAGTCAGACAAAAAGGTAAACTCAACACAATAGAAAACACTTACATGATATGTTCCAGCAGCAGCAGTAAGAGCCACCTGTGAGTTCTCCTGCATCAGTGGCTATGAGCTACAGCGTAGCCCTGCTTGATTCTACCAATCCAACCTGGCCTGAACTGGCACAGAGCCCACCTGTGTAGCTATGAATGTCAATGTTGGTGTCAGAATAGCAGTTTTATGACTTCTATACCAGTTTTATGAGAAAAGGATCACTGTGTCCACATCCATAGTTCTCTTCTACTGGCTGCAAATGGGAATGCTTCAGCAAGGACAGTGTGGCCTGGATCTTTGACACATCACCGCAGTGGACCTGGTAGGCACGTTCCTGGCCCTCATCAGCAGGATAGGAGCAAAGATTATGTCTGCAGCATTAGCTCTGCAGTTTAGGCTATTGCTGCAAATCCTACTCTATTCTTTAAAAAAAATTTTTTTTAACATTTATTTTTGAGACAGAGAGAGACAGAGCATGAACAGGGGAGGAGCAGAGAGAGAGGGAGACACAGAATCTGAACAGGCTCCAGGCTCTGAGCTGTCAGCACAGAGCCCGACGCGGGGCTCAAACTCACAGACTGCGAGATCATGACCTGAGCCGAAGTTGGACGCTTAACTGACCAAGCCACCCAGGCGCCCCCCTACTCTATTCTTTTAGCATGGTGCTTGTGGATAAGCATAGTGTGGACAAGGAGCACTAGTGACGCCTATGGCCCTCTTCAACCCGGGTGACACCTTCCCCTTACAAGGAGATGGGTCTGCAAGCTGAAAAGAGGCAGACCTATGTGTAACACCTGCTGTGATGGTTCTTCTCTTGGAAGTTCCATTCTTCTTTCTACATAGTGCTATGCACATGGAAGGGCCTTGAAAATATCCTTATGTACATGGGGCGCCTGGGTGGCGCAGTCGGTTAAGCGTCCGACTTCAGCCAGGTCACGATCTTGCAGTCCGTGAGTTCGAGCCCCGCGTCAGGCTCTGGGCTGATGGCTCAGAGCCTGGAGCCTGTTCAGATTCTGTGTCTCCCTCTCTCTCTGCCCCTCCCCCGTTCATGCTCTGTCTCTCTCTGTCCCAAAAATAAATAAACGTTGAAAAAAAAAATTAAAAAAAAAAAAAAAAGAAAATATCCTTATGTACAGATTTTTATTTGTAATTTTGAAAGTTTAATTTTATTATAGCTTTCTGTGCACTTAAAAATGAGCATGATGCATTTTGTACTCTGAAGTGTTCCAAAAAATGTTATGAATATGATACTTACTCCTTCTTTCTTTCCTCTAGCATGCCTGGTAAGTTTTGTACAAAAGTTACAAACCACAACCATACATATGCTTTCAATGTGTTTATTCAGTGTGACACCAAACTTTCCTGTTTTTTTTACATAAAATTTTTATATAAAATAAAATATTTTTATGGGGTGCCTGGGTGGCTCAGTTGGTTAAGTGTCTGACTTCAGCTCAGGTCATGACCTCACAGTTCACAAGTTTGAGTCCTGCATCAGGCTCTGTGCTGACAGCTGAGAGCCTGGAGCCTGCTTTGGATTCTATGTCTCCCTCTCTCTCTGCCCCTTCCCTGCTTGCACTCTGTGTGTCTCTCAAAAATAAAAAACAAAATATTAAAAAAATTTTAAAATAAGTAAATAAATAAATACGTTAGAGGGAAAAATATATTAAAATATTTTGGAGGAGAAAACAGAAGAGCTAAAGGGAAAATCTAAATAAGAACTTGTTTCAATCTAGTTGAATAATACAAAGTTATTACATTTATGTATTATCGTATTACACTTAATATTTTTCACAATTATTATTTTTTAAAAATGTTTATTTATTATGAGAGAGCAAGAAAGTGCAAATGTGAGTTGGGGAAGGGCAGAGACAGAGGGAGAGAGAGAATTCTAAGTAGGCTCCATGCTGTCAGTGCAGAGTCCAACACAGGGCTCAAACTCACAAACCATGAGATTAATGACCTAAGCCAAAATCAAGAGTTGGACGCTTAACTGACTGAACCGCCCAGATGCCCCACAATTATTTTTAATGATCTTTTCTAATTAGTCCACTGGTGGCCCAAACTGAAAAACTTTGCCCTAGAGAACGGGGTTTAAACCAGCTAGCAACTTGTTTCCCAAATAGCTTGAGACAAGAGAACGCGACCAATTTTCGCTTGTTAAAAAAACAAATTCAATGAAAATGCATAGTCAGGCATGATAGGATAATACATCAAACAATCACTATAGTGTTTCATATTCCTTAGTTTTGACATAGATCATATAATGACAAATATTTTGTTCACATTCTCCAAAATAATATCCTTCTTCACCCAATATTAATAACTTCACAGAGTGAGATCAAACAATTCATACATGCCCTCAGAAGTCGGAGGACACCTTATCAAAATACAAATAGAAGAAATAAAAATGGAAGAATGTTTCAGAAAAAGAATAAAGCAGTAGAAAGATGTTAATATAAAAGGAAGATAAAGCACATGGGTCAAAACTCAGACTGAAAATAAAATAATCTTAGTATTTCAGGATAAGCTTGGTGTATACTAGGGACATTTTTCAATTCTCTCTTCTTTTGACCTGTCTTAGATTTTTAAAAAAAAATGTAGTTGTCACTCCAAAATATTTCTTTATTTCCTCTATTTTCTTCTCTTGTAATGCCTGAAAAAAACCTGAAAATTCCCAACTATACTAACATGAAAGTTTTGTTCAGAAAAAAAAAAAAAAAAAAAAAAAAAAAAAAAAAAACCTTTAGGAATTTCTTTTTTCATTAGTCTTTCAACAAGTCTTTCATTAGTCCAAAGAGTAATCAAATTCTCTATAAATAAGTTCAAAACTGTCTCTCCCATGTAAATGGAACAACTGATCAAAGCTATACATTCTTCTGAATGGCAGAGTACTTTGGTCTGCTATTAACAAAATATTACTCACCATCACATGCACTGAAGTCTAGACTCCTATAAAATTAGCTGTTTTCAGAGAGTGCAGGCAAAAATCCTGGTGCAATTTTACTCCTTTAAAAAAGCCAAGTACTCTTACAGGAGCCTATAAAAATTCTTTTTTAAAATCACACCTCATTTACTGACTACAAAATTTGAGACCTTTTGTGAGACATTTTATTTAGAACACCTGTTATTCTCCATTTATTAACACTTATTTTTCCAACCTCAAAATGTGGCAATAAAAGTAAGAAATTAACCTTAAGCAAATTCTCATGCTTCGAGGCAATGATTTTTCCATTTGCATCAACAGTATTTTCAGTTTCACACTATTGTACTGTTGCCAGAGCTATGGAGAGGACTTAAAAAAACACAAAGGAACAAAATCAGAATAATAATTTAAAAGAATGGAAAAAAGAATATCTAATTGCAATCTCTTTACTGGTGATTTGGGGCTCTTAAATATCCTTTTTTGTTCCTGTGTTGCAAAAAATAAAGACATAAAGTACTTTATTACCTGTCCCTAAGAAACAGAGTATCAATTTGAAAACCCTCTAAAATTGCCTTTTCTGGAAAGCAAACCTTCACAATATTCTGAAAGGAATTTACAAACCTCTGAATGTTCATCTCTTTCATCTATAAGTCTTTTTAGATGTAATGCCATATTTTTCAAGAGTGGCTCTATTTCCTCCTGAGACATATCAGTCACTTCCATCCATTGCAGATCAAACACATTTTCCTGATTATGGGTTACCTTTAGGAAAGAAATCAAAATCAGCAATTTTTCTAAATGGCTAATACTTAAAAATTGGTTTCACTTTACTGCAATATTAGCTTAAATATCATACAGTCCATATCATAAAAATGAGAAGCAAATATGATGCCTAAAGAAGACCTGGTAAAAAGGCTAATACTAAGAATTACTTTTACTAAATATAATCTTTAAATAAAAAAATTATATTTGTTTTCCTGTCAGCTAAAAAGCAAAACATTTAATTCAGGCATTACTAGGGGAAGGTAATATTGACATGTTTGATAACTGCTTTAACAAAATCAATGAATTTTTCTTTAGGTAAGACTAAATTGTGCTGGATTCAAAAGCAAAAGTTTTTTAATCTTGTAGGATATATGTTATTGTACTTTTATACTTGAAAAGCTTTTCTTTACAGATTCTGTAGATGACACTGTCCCAGAACCTTAGGAGAAAAGGGCTACCAACATAAAGATTTTTAAAAAATGGAAAAGTAGGGGCGCCTGGGTGGCGCAGTCGGTTAAGCGTCCGACTTCAGCCAGGTCACGATCTCGCGGTCCGTGAGTTCGAGCCCCGCGTCGGGCTCTGGGCTGATGGCTCAGAGCCTGGAGCCTGTTTCCGATTCTGTGTCTCCCTCTCTCTCTGCCCCTCCCCTGTTCATGCTCTGTCTCTCTCTGTCCCAAAAATAAATAAACGTTGAAAAAAAAAAATTAAAAAAAAAAAAAATTTAAAAAAAAAAATAAAAAAAAAATAAAAAATGGAAAAGTTATATAAATGAAATACTTATTTCTTGCTTTCCATTTCTCACTGTGATTCTGATATTCTGCTTTAACTTTCACAAGAAACCGCAAAAATAATAATAATAATAAAAAACACTTTCAAGAATGATGGCAAATTTAGTAACTTGCAATACTTAGCATTTATTCAAAATAAAATACAAACTACAAAGCTAGCATAAACAAACAAATAAATATAAGGGGAAACTTCCAAAAAAAAAAACAAAAACAAAAACAAAAACCCTGGTATCTTGTGGAGTACTAATATGCTTACTGTTGACAACATTATTACTGACAAGAAGGCTGGGCTCTATGAATGCTAACAAAGAGAAAAGATGATATACAGAACACAGGTTATTCAAATAGAGAATTATTTTAAACACTACTAATTTTTACTATTTAAAAATTCTCTCTCTTATCTTAGTTCTCTAATCAACATGTAAAATTTAACATGATCTAGTTCTAAAAAGTCCTCTTAAGTACACAAGATTAAAAGCTCAAGACTAGATAGATGCAGAAATTAAAATCCATCTGTTAACTGTATCAATTACTTAATATTGCACAATATGTCCTAGATTTGAGTTCTTATATAGATGTTAAAATGACTAATGTGTTATAATTCAAGTAACATCTTCAATAAAAATTATACTGTGTCCATTCATTCAAAAGAAAATCACTGGAATGACTTAGTACTCGGGTTATCATCTTACTTCACATTAGTTTTGAATTACAGGCAGTGATCCATTTTCTGCTGCTTCTATTTACTATGTACTGTTCATTCTGTGCTGTCTAACAAAGACATACACATCATTCCTCAGACACGTTCTACCTAATGTCCCTATGGATAAAGGCAACAATACATTGTAGTTAGTTAGCACTGTGCCATGAGGATTCATTTAAGAAACTATCTCTAAAGAGAAGACACTTTGTCTAATAGCAGAGTTCATCTAAATCTGACTTTGATTTGTTCTTGCTCATCATAGGACTTCAAGTCTTTGGGGACATATAAACACACCACAAGCTTTATAAAAATTAGTATATAAAAACCGTATATAGGTTATTACCTCTTGAATATGTGCGGCAACTGCTGCTTTTGTATCAAAATCTAAACCTTGAATTCTTTCAATAAATTCTTCTTTTTTCTGACACTAAAAGAAATGAATAAAACAATCATTCACATTTTATGGGATATAGTCCTTAATATGTTGTAAATAACTAAAAACTCAATGGGCCAGAAAGTTTGGTTATGTTTTGAACACTACAATGAGGGTTTTGTTGGTTTTGCATTTAAATGGTCTAATATACTCACTTAACAAAAAGATAACAATTTATAAATATTTATTTAAAAAGCATGGCACTGAAAACCCATACTATTTTTATGCTGTACAGTTCTAAAGCGGGAAACCATTACACAACCCATGTGAGGTCAGTACAATATTATTATGCTAACTTTACAAACAGAAAAGTAAAGAATCAAGAACTTGTTTCAGGGAGGATAAGTTACTTGCCAAAAAACACAGTGAGTCAGTGGCAGAATTCGGAATACAGCCAAAAAGCTCAGTCAGTCTTTGGCTATCATCAAACAAAACAGCCTTTCTTCTTGGAAAAAAAAAAACTGTAAGCAATTTTTACTTCAAGCTTACAATCCATTCTCACATCTTCATCCTATCAATCTTAATAAAAGAAACCTACTTTTGTGGCCCAGTTCAACATTTATAAGGTAGTACAATAAATATTTGATTTGTTTCTACAATAACATAAAGTTACCAAGGACAAAATTTAAGAATATATATATATATATATGTATATATATATATATATATATATATACACACACACACGTGTATCAAGTAGAATAAATGCAGCAATTATTTATTGTGTAACTTTAAAAAAATCTTTATATAAACTAAAAATATTATGATGTAAATCTAATCTTTTTCTTTCTCAGTACTAAGTAACAGTTTAACATGCATCTTAGTATTTCTGCCTCCTGGGTCTACATCTCTTAAACTACAATCCAACTGCTAGTATAAATGTATTCTTGCAGCTACCAAATGAGAAGTGCATACAAAATAGAAAGCACTGCCTTGTCTAGCTTAAGCTGCATCTCCTGGGCCAATTACCAAACTACTAGTGAAGAGAATAGACTCACAAAAAGAAAAATTGGTTCTGAGATCATTAAGAAACTTAGCAAGGTTATGATTTACACTCTACGTATTTATTACATCAAATTGTAACATTCTATTTCCATTGCCTACAATTTAACTTAACACATTCCCATCAGTGCAAAAAGTTCTGTGTCCTATAAAAACAAAATTATTAGAATGACATAATAATATTAAAATTATGGGGAGACGGTTGGCTCGGCAGGTTAAGCATCTGACTCTTGATTTCAGCTCAGGCCATGATCTTACAGTTTGTGAGATCAAAGGCTCTGTGCTGACAGCATGGAGATGTTTGGGATTCTCTCTCTCCCTCTCTCTTTGCCCCCCGACCTTACACATGTACTCACTTGCACAGTCTCTGCCAAAAATTAATAAATAAACTTTAAAATTAAATTCCTGAGAATGTACAATTTCTAGCTGTGACTAGGAAATCAGAGTTTTGGGGGAATGGGATTAAAACTAGTCAATTTAAAAATAAGATTTTTTTATCTAGTAAATAGTATGTGATAGGTCTAGTGACAATTAAGAATAACTTTCTGACAGTACATCTGTGGTATATATTAACTACCTTTTTAGTTACGATATGCCCAATTTTTAAATTTAATGCTTCCAAAGATGTTGACCTATACATAGTTTTTGAGCGAATGATCATATAAAATTGGCAGGGTTATGATAACTATGACTCACTGAAAGGTCCCCCGATTTCAACTGCCATATCTTTGTCTGCCTTCAACACATATACCTCCCTTTTCTAAGCCCTATAGCCATTATTTCTTTATTTATACTATCTTTTTTTTTTTTTTAACGTTTATTTATTTTTGAGACAGGGAGAGACAGAGCATGAACGGGGGAGGGTCAGAGAGAGAGGGAGACACAGAATCCGAAACAGGCTCCAGGCTCTGAGCTGTCAGCACAGAGCCCGACGCAGGGCTCGAACTCACGGACAGTGAGATCGTGACCTGAGCCGAAGTCGGACGCTTAACCGACTGAGCCACCCAGGCGCCCCTTATTTATACTATCTTTAAGAGCTCATCGTTTAACACAGTCTCAACACAAATCAATGAGATTTCTTCTTTTACTCTTAAAATACCCACAGTTTCTACTAAATCTCATCTTTATTCAAACTCTATAAGTTTCAAGAATTCCAAATATGCTTCATAAATAGGTTAGGTTTTTTTAAAGAATGCAGAATGAAGGTTGTAGGATCTTGAGGGACAGACTATCAAGATGGAAAAGAGAATGAGAGAAGATACAACTCTGAAGTTCAATTATCAGACCAAAGTTTTATTTAAGTGTTGTCCAATACAGTAATACAGCTGTCCAATATACCTGTCCAATACAGGTATACAGCTACTGAATACCAAAATGTAGCTAATGCAACTAAGAAATTGAAATTTTCATTTTAGGGGAGCCTGGGTGGTTGGTTAAGTTGGTTAAGTGTCCGATTTAGGCTCAGGTCATAATCTCACGGTTTGTGAGTTCGAGCCCCGTATTGGGCTCTGTGCTGACAGCTCAGAGCCTGGAGACTGCTTAGGATTCTGTTTCTCTCACACTCTTCCCCTCCCCCACTCATGCTGTTTCTCTCTGTCAAAAATAAACATTACAAATTTTTTTTAAAAAGAAAATTTCATTTTAATAGTAATTGATTTTAATTTAAATACCCACATGTGGCTCACAGTGGCTACTGTATTGACAGCCTAGTTCTAGAGCATAAATAAAGAAGTATGGTGTTGGGGCTCCTATTGGTTAAGTGTACGACTTCGGCTCAGGTCATGATCTTGGGGTTTGTGAGTTTGAGCCCTGCGTCAGGCTCTGTGCTGACAGCTCAGAGCCTGGAGCCTGCTTCAGTTTTTATGTCTCCTTATCTCCGCCCCTCATGCTCGCTCGCTCTCTCTCTCTCTCTCTCTCTCTCCTTCTCTATCTCGAATGAATATACATTAAAAAAAAAGTATGGTGTTAAAAATAGGCCTATAAATAATTTTACTTCCAGCTATGAAGACTCTTGTGAAGAAGACTAAATAATCATTACAAATTGTTTTTTTCCACTTAAAATGAAGCTCTCTTTTATCTTTATATAAAGTTTTGAATGTGTTATGGGCACTAAAGTTATTTCTAACTCTATAATAGCAACTGATACTAAGGTCAGCAGATTACCATGATATTCTAAGAATATCTGGGAAGCTGGGATATAGGAAAAGAGCAGAAAGGTTATGTGGGTAGGAAGTTGGAGGCCTGGTGGGGAGAACTGCATTAACCCTAAAGTTCTGCATCTTTCACCAGAGTATCATCTCTTAATGTTCCTCAAATTCCTTATATTTTTACTTAGTACTCTCAGTGCTTTCTCTTATTAAAGAAAACAGGTTTATGTTTAAAAATCATACAAAAATAAGGAAAAAGTACCCAAAACAAGCTACTGAACAATAAAACAGTAAAATGAGGAACACATGACAATGTTTTCAGTAAGAATAAGAACACTAATGACTGAATAGAGAATAGAGATCATAGTTCCATCAAAAGTAAAACCAAAATAAGCCATGTAAAATAAATAAAAATAGAAAAATTAAAATTCCCTCTTTAAAGAATGGTTCTCCCACAACCCCAAATAGAAAATAATCAATGATGGCAAGGATATGGAGAAATTGGAACTCTATATACTGTTGGTGGGAATGTAAAATGGTACAGACACTATGGAAAACAATATGGCAGGTCCTAAAAAAGTTAAAAACAGACCAACCATATATGATCTAGCAGTTCCACTTCTGGATAGACACCAAAAAACGGAAAGCAGTGACTCAAACAGCTATTTGTATACCCATATTTACAATACTATAATTCACAATAGCCAAAAAGTGGAAGCAGCCCAAGTGTCCATCAATGGATGGATGAACAAAATGTAGTATATACATACAATGGAATATTACGTAGTCATAAAAGGAAAGACACTCTGACACATGCTACAACATGGATGAACCTTAAAGACATTACGCTAAGTGAAATAAATCAGTTATAGAACGACAAATACTGTATGATTCCACTTATGTGATGTCCTAGATTAGTCAAATTTATAAAGACAAGGTGGAATGGTGGTTGCCGGGGGTTGGAGGTAAAAGAGATATAGGGAATTACTGTTTAACAGGTATAGAGTTGCAGTTTTGGAAGATGAGAAAAGTTCTGAGATGGGTAGTGGTGATGGCTGCACAACAATGTGAATGTACTTAATGCTAATGAACTGTATTTAAAAATTTAGTAAAATAGTGAATTTTATGTTAGGTATAAATTTTCCCATGACAAAAAAAAAAAACAGTTTCAGCAAAAAAATTCCCTCTTTATATTAAGCTACATTTGCTATTCTCATGTATTCTCAGAAAAATAAATGCCTCAACTAGAAGCTATGTATTATTTCCCCAAATGTAATGGAATAATTAATGTTCTAAAATGTTAATTTTTAAGATGGTTTACAGATAAGTGGTAGAAAAACATCCATCAGAGTGTAGCCCTCAAGCTGAGCAAGTTCAAAAACAGTTTTTTGAATCAAATAGGAGTCTTGTAATTGCTTATGAGGGCACACATAAAGATCAAAATTTTAATTCCAATCACACTTGACACTCAGTTACTTTCAATACTATGCAAACTGGTGAAAGTCCAAAATAAATATTTTTGGAGACTGAAGAGCCAGCACTAATATAAACCTAAGTTCTGCTGAATTTTACATGGTCTTTGAAGAAAAGAAATTGGGAATCTTCTCTCAACTATCTCATGGCTCAGATGCAGAGCTATGTGTCCATAAAAATTTTAGCTAATACTCAGAACTGGTTTAGAAGATTTGTTACCCACTGAACAAGATCCTGTGGAACTGGACTGGTTTAATTAGTCAATAATGAAAATATATAAGCCCTGGCCTTGAAAAGTCTTCTTTGTATTCAAAGTTATTCCTGTGGTTTATATTTATGTATAACTGAAGATAAAAAAGTCTTAATGTTTTCCAATTTTCTTATGCTTCTTTCCATTTCTATTTCTTTTTATGAATACAGCATCTTTTAAAACTTGTGGCTCACTCAATTCTTGAACTTTAGTATCATATCAACAAACTTTAACTTGCTATTTCTACCTATGAATCACAAGTATAACAAAAAACTAATCCTGATGTGGAAAAACATATTTATGCAAGTTATAACATTAAATGTCAGACTTTTAACCTGTTGAATTACACAGGAATAGATTTTCTGTAATTCAGATTATATTTTAGACAGTGTTTAAACAATACTTATTGGCTATTTAGCTTTGTCAACAGTTTCTTCTCCTGAAGTACATTTTGGCTCTTCAGTATCCACAAAGATTTCACACTGTTCATACAGGCAGTTAAAGGGGCTGACAGGGAGATTCTGATTGTTACCCATTTGATGTCATTAGCATCAGCAGCTCCCAAATACCTACAGGATGAAATCTAAATTCTATCTTAAATATAGGATACGAGAGAATTATAGAAAATAGGGTAGGGGTTAGCAGCTTAGATTTTATAATATTTTTTTATTGCTTTTACAAATGGTAATAATGGTTTCTTTAATATTTTATTTAGGCTTTCCCTAAACTGTTCATAAAAAGTCCTTAGTTCTGCTCTGTTTCTCCTGTCAATTTTAGTAACCAGCAATAACCAAATAGTAACCAGGAGTTACAACCAAATTTATGCTGTCACTATGTTACTTAAATTTACATAACGCTCATCAGTAGTGGGTATTTTTTTTATTTTTTATTTTTTTAATTTTTAATGTTTATTTATTTTTGAGAAAGGAATGCACAGAGTGTAAGCAGGGGAGGGGCAGAGAGAAAGGGAGACACAGAATCCGAAGCAGGGTCCAGGCCCTGAGCTCTCAGCACAAAGCCCGATGCAGGGCTTGAACTCACAAACCATGAGATCATGACCTGAGCTGAAGTCGGACGCTTACCCAACTGAGCCACCCAGGTGCCCCAGTAGTGGGTATTTTTAAAAGCAAATAAAGTATTTAAGGCTGTAAATAATTAAGGCTGTGTTTCTAATTTAGGATCTGACGACCAAATTAGAATAGCAATGACTATAAACACTGTATTTGCTTAATATTTAGACAATTATAAAGTAAACACCTGTATATTACACAGCATGAAACTTAAATAACATGCGATGTGTAAGTATATAGCTCCCAAGCAATCAGCTCTAAAAACCACACTCTCTCGGATATATAATTTCTGGCATATGTATGTAAAAACTTACTCACGGTCACAATATTTATTTGTTTACAAATAAATTCATTCCACAAATAACTGAGATAGTTTAACACTGTAATCACTCATCCAAAAAATGGCTGATTAAAGGAAAAATCAGCAGAGAAATACATTTTGAAGTCAGACAAGAGTTTAATCTTTTTCAGCCTGAAAAAGTAAGTACATTGTTGAAATTTGTTAGTAGTTGCTAATTTCCCTAGTTGTTCAAAAATTAAAACTCTGAACAGGTCACATTTAAAACCTGGCAAAGGGCAGAAATACGAATCTAGAGCAACCATCTTGGTTTGTCAGGTACAGTCCCAGTTTACACATGCAGTTCCACCGTAATTGTTAACAATTCTCTTTTCCTACTCTCACAAATGTCTTCATTAGGGGAACTTACATATCACCTGACCTAAATACCAACCTCTTCGTGTGAAAAAAGAACTTACAAGAAAACCTATATAAAGAATCATACCTGAAAGAAAGTAGGCTTTCGATAAGCCACAGCCTGCTCTTATTATTATAATCAGTTATCAAAAGGGCAATATAATAACCCAGACTCCTAAATAACGTTTTTCATAATTTCTGCCTCTTTCTGTTGCTAATCCTTTCTCTTCTGTAGCACACATACATAAACACATAAATCATAAGGATATTTGGGAGAAGTTTTTAAGAGTACCTCTAAGAAAATTTGAAATACCTGGGGTCACTAGAAGCCTCAGAATTAAAACAATATACACAGTTTTTAAACGATACAGCTAGCTGATAATATAACTAAAGTTTGAAATGAAGTAACAGAGTGTTTTCCTTCAAAATGTCCTTAGGTTATAGTTATTTAAAAGTTCCTAATGTAGACTTTGAAAATCAACAGCCCATCTTTAAGTCTTTCAAAAACTACAGCCTGAAAAAATATATAAAGAAGTTATTAAAATGAAAATATGAAGAAATATTTTAACTTACCTGAACTGCACAACCCAGTAAAAGTAAAAGCAACTTTTTAACTTCTTCTGTGCCTTGTTCTGAAATAAAAATGATTGCTAAGTACTACATTTCACTTTAGTTCCACTCTCTTTCTTACATTGGTAGAATTCATTGTTAAGTTACTATTCACAGCAACTCGACCCAAGGATTAAGTCTGCAAGTACAGTGAAGAATTCAAAAAAGCAGCTCTGTGTGCACAGTGTGGTAACAGCAGAAGAAATGACCAAGGATGTCCATTTTGAAGGGTTACAGTATAGACAAAATGCGCTTCAATGCTCTATCCAATAAAGTGTGCTAATTACAAATCTACTAGTTTTCCATAAATTATTATACCACACCAGTATACCAAATGAAGAACAGCTGATATAGGGGCATGCCATAAATTCAGTCAAAATGGTTCCTCATAGGTCTGGCTTCTTTTTAGGTCTATTAATGTTCTCTTTCTAAAACACATATATGATCCATCTACCTATAAAATTTAAATGGCTTTACACTGTGTAGACTCATGAGAATCCAAACCTTAAATGTTATAGCCCGGCTGGTAAAAAATGAACATTTATAATAAACTGGATAAAATTAATGGTCTGTAACAGAACTGGATAGTACATTTGCTGTGCAACAGCACTCAATTCAGATTTTCTCAAAACATATACATCTGACAAAAAAAAAAAAGTCACTTCTTTGGGCAGAATTTCACCATCAGGCCAATCTGTCCATAATAAAGTCCAAACCTTCTTTTGAAACATTTCCTCCTACTCTCCAGGAAACAATCTATTTTCTTAGCCACACCTGATCACCGTTCCCCAAATATATACACATCTACACTCCTCTGCCTTCACTTCTGTTACTCTCTCTGCTTGTCTTTCTTCCCTACACCATCCCTCTAGTGAGTTACTTACTAATCACGATCCTAGGCACCACTCTAACATCTCTGTGTAGTCTTCCCTGACCAAACCAGCCACCAGTGGTCCCCAACCCTCTCTTATCTGCCAACTATAAGAATAACGGCTCCATATTTCACATGCCTTAATACTTTTACAGAGCTCTATTTTGTATTATTACATGGTTTCCCAGTCATCTGTGCATCTCTCACCAAAACACAAGATTCTGCAAAGTACAGACCATTTTCTTTATATTCCTGGTCTTTATAATTTGGTAGGTAATTACTAAATGCATGTGAAACTGAAAATAATTCCATTTCACATATAATTTTTTTCATTTTTTAATTTGTATAGTCAAACATCCCAGAATATCTCTAAAGACCGTCTAAACTGATTCACCTCACCTAAGTGGTAATTTCCTCAGGAAAAGCAGCTGCTTGATTTTAGTTTTTATTTCAGCTTTATTTGTGTTTTGAATGAGAATGGAGGGTGGGGTTTGGAGAAGATATACTTGGAGGTGGATTACAGACAGCCTGAAAAAGTAAGTCCATTGTTGAAATTTGTTAGTAGTTGCTAATTTCCCTAGTTGTTCAAAAATTAAAACTCTGAACAGGTCACATTTAAAACCTGGCAAAGGGCAGAAATTTCTGACAAAAATAATTTAAATGACCTAAGAAAACTGCTTCTCATCTTTCTATTTAGAAGTAGTTTAAACTACAACATCAATCACTAAACTCTTAAGATTCAAACAGCTCTGGCAATGAGAGCAGATGTATGAATACAAACCTAGAAATTATTTCAAAATCACTTCTTTTCTAAGATTATGTTCCTTTAATCATGTTCTATATTGTTTATAATGAGACACTAAAAATAATTACAGGAAAGTATCAATGTGGTAGAGTTAAAACAACACTGGCCTTAACGTAAAATGAATGTCTGTTCCGTCCTACACATTACAAATATTCTAAGCTTATTGCCTCTTTATAAAATGGAATATCACCTCTGATTTTACTAGAGCCATTGTATTCATATAAATAAGCAAGATCTTGATAAGCATTATAGCATTACGCAAAGTTAAGACTATCACTTTATGCTAATTTTAATACTTACCAGAAAAAGGATTTTTGCCAATGATTAAGACATTTGGCAATGACATCATGATCAATTGCTGCAAAGTCTCCTGTAAAAAGATACCCCAATGGTTGTTATACAGGTAATGCTGATTAATTAGTCAATAAGCTGTAACTTATGATTTGTGCACTTCTCTGTGGATATGCTATACTGCAAATAAAAAGCTTTCAAAAAGGTGAAAAAACTTACCCAAGGTCTTAAAAAGACATCTAAGATCTTAAACTTTTTGTAACTTTAAGTTAATGAATTAAGTAACTAAAATTATTGTATCAGCCAGACTTAATAACATATCAAATATCTACAAAATAAGTGTCCAAGTGAACAGGTCTAATATTGACTATTTGGAAATCTGAGTTTTAGGTATTAGATGATGATTTAAAGATGATTAAATAATATTCCTCAATAAAAGATCAAGCATGATTACTCTTTTTGGTCTTTTGTTACTTCTCTTTAAGGGAATTAAAAACCTCTATTAAAATTAAGGAAATTATGGAGCGCCTGGGTGGCTCAGTCAGTTGAATGTCCGACTTCCACTCAGGTCACGATCTCACAGTTTTTGAGTTTGAGCCCCATGTCAGGCTCTGTGCTGACAGCTCAGAGGCTGGAGCCTGCTTTGGATTCTGTGTCTCCCTCTCTCTTTGCCCCTCCCCCACTCATGCTCAGTCTCTCTCTCTCAAAAACAAATAAACATTAAAAAAATTAAGGACACTAGTTACTTCATTAAAAATTGTGTCTTAAGATCATTTCATGCAAGTGAGCTCTTCCTCAGTGAATCATTATTTCTCCCCTCTATCTACAATAGATGTTTTAGTTCAATTTCTCTCAAATTGTCCATGACAAGAATATATACACATTCTGATACTACGGGATGATTCAGAAAAATTGAATGCTTTCAAATTACTCATTTTAGTTAATACATCAACTATGCATCTTCCATTTTTAGTATCCTTGTTTTGAGGAGATGAAGGAACACAATGTGTCTGTCATTACTATCACTAATAATGACATGCTACAAAGGGTCTGCAATGAATTAAGACTACAGGACGACAGGTGTCCTGTGATATTGCTCAATGCTGTCCCGTGATATTGCTCAATCTATGCAAAATTATACAAACAATTGTGAATGTCCTTATAATTTGGCTTTCACTATATATTCAGACATAACCAGTTACTGAGGAATACATTTTTAAAAGTGTTTAATTCTTTCTGAATCACTCTTTACTTAATACTATGATGAGGGAGCAAATATCATGAAAATTTAACTTGTATTGCTTTTTAAAGATGTGTAATTCTAGATCCCATAAAGCATTTTCCCATAGCCAGTGTGTAACATGTACCAGAGGTTCATTAGAATTCATCTTTTATCTATAATTCCTTATAGGTATGTATTAGAAAGACTCAAAACATTTTCTTCAGTGTTACATATACTGGCTCTTTAAAAAACTATTACCAAAACATGGATACATGTTATTTTTTTAATGTTTATTTATTTTTGAGAGAGAGATAGCACGAACATACACGTGAGTGGGTGAAGGGCAGAGAGAGAATCCCAAACAAGTTCCTTCCTGTCAGTGCAGAACCCAACACGGGGCTCAAACCCAGAACTATGAGATCATGACCTATGCTGAAGCTGGATGCATGACTGAGCCACCCAGGTGCCCCAAAACATGCACACATTTAAAGAAAAAGTATACACTCAGTATGTGTATCATGTCAGATAAATAATTAAGAGTAAGTGTCAAGAAGTGCTAAAATCACTTACTCCAAAGACTGAATCTGGTTATTTAATAAATAAAATTTCCAGTTCAAAGCAAGTTACCTCAGGACAGAATATGCTATTAGCTAAGTATGTAACAGCTAAATGGACCTAAAGAATCATTCTTTGTTTCCTTGCCTTGAAGCAAAATTATCAAGACTACATGGACATACTGTTGTATTTTCATTTTCATTTGTCTCCATATACTTTTTAATTTCTTCTCTAATTGCCTAGTTGACCCATTCATTCTTTAGTAGGATGTTCTTTAACCTTCATGCTTTTGGAGGTTTTCCAGACTTTTTCCTGTGCTTGATTTCAAGTTTCATAGCATTGTGGTCTGAAAGTGTGCATGGCATGATCTCAATTCTTTTATACTACGTAAGGGCTGTTTTGTGACCCAGTATGTGATCTTGGAGAATGCTCCATGTGCACTCAAGAAGAAAGTATATTCTGTTGCTGTGGGATGCAGAGTTCTAAATATATCTGTCAAGTCCATCTGATCCAATATATCATTCAGGGCCCTTGTTTCTTTATTTATTCTCTGTCTAGATATTCTATCCATTGTTGTAAGTGAAGTATTAAAGTCTCCTGCAATTACCAGGAGACTTATCAATTATCATCAATAAGGTTGCTTATGTTTGTGATTAACTGTTTTATATATTTGGGGGATCCCAAATTTGGTGCATAGACATTTATAATTGTTAGCTCTTCCTGATGTATACACCCTGTAATTATTGTATAATGTCCTTCTTCATCTCTTGTTACAACCTTTAATTTAAAGTCTAATTTCTGATATAAGTATGGCTACTCCAGCTTTCTTTTCATTTCCAGTAGCATGATAGACAGTTCTCCATCCCCTCACTTTCAATCTGAAGGCATCCTCAGGTCTAAAATGAGTCTCTTGTAGACAGCAAATAGATGGGTCTTGTTTTTTTATCCATTCTGATACCTTATGTCTTTTGGTTGGAGCAATTAGTCCATTTACATTCAGTGTTATTACTGAAAGATATGGATTTAGAGTCATTGTGATATCTGTAGGTTTCACGCTTGTAGTGGTGTCTCTGGTACTTTGTGGTCCTTGCAACATTTCACTCACAGAATCCCCCTTAGGATCTCTCGTAGGGCTGGTTTAGTGGACGAATTCCTCCAGTTTTTGTTTGTTTGGGAAAACCTTTATCTCTCCTTCTATTCTGAATGACAGACTTGCTGGATAAAG